TGCATTGGACTAAAAATAAATGCAATCACAAGACAGACCTCTTGAACGAATGTTTGGAATTTTTGCAAACGATTCTATTTATGTATAAAGAAAATATAAAATTGCAATTAAAAGATTATTATTATTTATTTGGATTCACAATCACCAAGTGTCCTGATCGAGATTATGGGGTCCAGTGTCTTGCACAACCATGTTGAACGGATAATTAAAACTATGATTAGTTACACGTTTGACATTTATTTTTGTTCTGTTTTATCCTTCTTCCACCCATGGCCTAGATTTAGTTGGTCACATTCTTTGGGCTGCTCATTGTATACCTTTGGCCTTTTGGGCCTTGTTTTTTTGTTTCATTTTAATTCATGAGAAAAAGATCCTTATATTATTTTAACTACGATGAATTGATCAATTTAATCTGGTTTAATCTTACACAATATACACACTTATTTATCTCTCTAGTGTAACACTTTTTTTATTTATTTTCAATTACTTTTACAAGCAGAGAAACCATGGGCATTTAGATTGAGATATTAGTAGTTATGAGCTGATATTACCGTTTAAACATGAATAAGAAATGTAGGTTATTATTGTAATAACATGAGATCATTTGACATAAACAGCGACTGAAGGTTCCTTTCCTTCTCCTGTATCCCATTAACCAAGAATCTGTTGATTAACGAGGAGGATGATTGATGGGAGTGAATACAAGCAGGAAAAGATACGAGCTAACAAATGGAGGTTGAAAAGTAGCATCGACCTTTAAACTAACTAACTCGACCAAACACGCCTCTTTTGCATTCTGACCCACTTTTGTGAAAGTTTTCTTACAAACTATTATCAAAATGAAGAAACAAAAAGGACAGTGCAAGCTCACTTTCAAAATATTTTTGTTGGAATATATATTCTTAAAAAAGGAGAGAAGGCACGAAATTTTACAATAATAATTAACTAGGCAACCGCACGTATAGCAGCAGTGAAAAGACGGTTATGAATTAATTTTGGTGGTTGAGTTTTTGTAGTAAGCGAGGCTTTGAAAGTGTACCAGTCGGTTGTTGAGGTAAACCCTAGGTAGTTAAGGTACTTACAAATGGCAGCTATTCAGTTATACTTGGATATGCAAGAAACCTTGTGAAATAGAACCTCCAACAAACTACTTTTGACGGTGCTTAAATCTAATCTAATTATTGAAATAATGGGTAACCTCTGTCTATCAAAGTCAACTCAGTGCGTCTATGTTAAGACAATTAATCCATGCATGACAAGAATTACACTGCCTGCTAATCATGTATGTGTTCCAAAGCTGGATTGTTTTGTAAGCAAAGGCAATAACTTTTGTTCATTAATTAACACTATTCCTATTCATGTTTACCTGCTTTCATTCAATCAAAAGCAAACAAGGCATGTGAATCCAAATAATCATGTTTATTGCCAGCAAAGGCAGAAGCCCCCACCATAATTTGCCTATGTCAGTTTATATATCAAAATTTTCACACTACTTATGATTCTATTAATATATGTATTTATTTAGCAAATTAATATCACTTATAGGTTACTCTGCAATAATAGGACCCACCATGAGTATGTTATGTGGGCAGATATCCACCTTACCAACCAGTCCCTTATCTTTGCTTTGCTTTTCTTCTCAACGTGGCGTACAAATCACACATGCATAGAGGTCCAGCACAAAATGAAGCTCATGACCCACACATATCACCTCTTTTGTTTATTTTCAAGCTTCAAAACCGAGCAAACATCTATATTTTACTACATGCATACGTACGTCATGGATTACGAGCTAGCTTTCTATAATAGAATTTTCTACCATAGAAAGCATTTTCAAAATTAATTTTTACTAATTTCCATCGGGCATAAATTTTTAAAACAATTAACAGATATGTACAATCATATTTCTTTCTAATTAAGTTATTTTTTCTATATAGCGTAGGTGATTCGATCTAGCCATTGCATTGCTACTTTTCACTAGAGTCTAGAATGACAACGAATTATTTTAATCTTAAAATATAAACGATGGAAGATCAAAAATGTGAATTCTTTTCTTGCAAATGTATTGTTGTTTAGAGTAAAAGAAGCTCGATACAAATTGTGCACAAATCCATTTTCTTAGGTTAGTCAAAAGTTAAGAATGGGAAGAAAAAAACAAAGTTATTTAACAGAAATTGCGGGACTTTAATTTATTCTCTCTGGACTATTTTTGGTGTTAACCAGTTAATAGCTAAAATAATAACATTAAAACTAACGAGGATAATAAAGAAAGATCATATTAAAATAATTAGTTAAATTTTTGAAAAATAAAAAAAAGTTAAGTTAAGCCAGATTATATATATATGTCAAACTTATTCTATAAAATTAAAATTATTTTTTTTTATAGATTTTTGATCTGACCTTTTTAAAAATCTAATTTGACCAGTATCATATTTAAAAATCTATTTTACATTAATAACAACGATAAATAAGTTAATAAATTTATTTTTAAATAAATTAATAATTATATTTTTAAATATACATACAAGTCTTTTTTAATTTATATGATAAAAAAATAGTTTATTTTATTATTATTAAAATTTATAATTTAAAATAAAAAAAAATTAATTGAAGGATAACTTATGTACATACATTTACACACAAGTTGTAATGATAAAGATAATTCTATATAAAAAACTTTCTAAATATTTTCTATATCCTATACAAAAATGAAGAAAAAAGAGTAAGTGAAAATATGATTGTTAACATTTTTATTTTTTCTTGATTTTATATAAATAAGGAATATAAACATTTAAGTGCATTAAAAATGTAAAAAATAGTAATAATTTATTTTTTTAATACAAATTTATTTATTTAATTATATTTAATGTAATATATATATATATATATATTTTTTTTTTATATCATATCATATAAATAAACAAACTGACATATATAATAGATTTTTTTAAACCTAAGTCCAACTTTTTTTAAAAATAAATGGACTTTAATTTGTAAAAGTTTAAATTTAACATTTTTCTTAAATAATTAAGGTCAAATCAGATTTTAAACAAATTAAACTATACATTTTTTATTTAAGGCATGACCTATTTCTATGTTTAGAAACAAGTTAATAAATATTTTTTTTGGTTTTATATTAAATTTATTATATATTTCTTATAAAATTTTTATATTTATCTAATTTTAGTTTTTAAAAATTGTTTTATTTTATTTCTTCTTATAGAGAAATTTATTTATTTAAACTCCAATATTTTTTGGCTGTGAAGAATTTTATTTAGGAATATATATATATATATATATATGTGTGTGTGTGTGTGTAATAAGAGATAATTGTTATTATTCATAATATAAATACTGGTATATGATGATTAAAAAAATTAATGCATAAAATTCAAATTATAACCCTAAATCATAATTGAATAATCATTTATTCAGTATTCTATAAGAATAAATATTCTTGAATGTATTTTGTGCGAAATAACATAAAATAAAATAAACAAATACATACTTTAAATAGGATCTTATATATCATTATAATAAAGACACGTGTTCAATATGTTGGTATATAAATCATTCTGTTCTTGTCATTAAAACACAGACAATCCATTTTACGTTTTAGTTGTGTTGAAATTATTCCGTAGACTTTACCATTTACACACGTAGTAGTAGCAGCTAGCTAAACTGATAAACACTTGCATTATATCCTTTCTAAAGCAGATTTTCTGTTTTCACCACCACTTGTGCATACTGCCATGGCCCTTCTTCCTGCAGGGAACCCACATAGACGGATGCATACGAAATAATATTTTTTATTTTTTTTAAATCTCTCAACACTGACTTTTTTGTGTATTATTCCTAAAAAGATTAACATTTTTGTAATTTTAAACTGCTATTTCACCTGCGATATATAACATTAAATATTTAATTAATAATGGATGATTAATTAGATAGATATACGACAATTAATAAGGCCACATTTATAACATATTTAATAAATCATGATCAACTAATCATCTAATTATATATCATCAAGATTTTGGTAGACTGCTTACTGGTTATCCGCATATAAGAAAGGCTTTTAAATTTTGCATACCTATATTTTCGGTGAAATAATCTTTTTATATGTAAAAAAATATTTTTCTTACACATAAACTTAAATTGAATGATAATATTTGTTATCAAAATGATGTTATTTTACCATTGACAAAAGTTCTAAAAGAATTCATTTAAATAAATCGACGAGTGTGGAGTGAATTGAACATTCTAATGAGTACAATAATAATATTTGGTTCACGACGCAAGCATCATGCGAACACATTACCTTGAGATAATAAAATTATAAAATAAGTGTGAAAATTAAAAGTAAAATTGTACATAATCATGATATGATAAAAAGTTTGGGTAAGTAAAAATAAGTGTGAGTAATGCTGTTTAGATTTAAATCCCACTTAACGCAGAAAAGAAGGCAATGTAATGGGTTGGTTTCTTAACATGTAAAATTTCCATGGTTAGCTAAATAAAGAGTAATTAGCTGATGGCAGTATCTATGATTTTGGTGGTTACAGCCGTGCTATCATAATTGGTGGTGGGTCTGAGTACTCGTGTTTTTATCGTTTTAGCTCCATTTTTCAGAAAAAGGAAATTGAAACTAGAAAGCACCTTTTCTTGGCTAGCTGTTATGTCTATTAGGCATAGAAAGAAATGTGAAATAATAGATGATGATTAATTAATTGCATCCTAAAATGAGTCAGTTTAAACTTTAAACTAAAGATGAGAGCAGTGAAAAGAAATAATATAATAATTTGATGATGGCATAAGCAAAGAGATAATAATTTGATGGAAGAAGGTGACAGTAAGATAATGGTTAGTGTGAGATGGGTCCCAGTCCCATAGGCATAGGTTAAGGTTGGTAATAAAAAGTAAAAGCGTGCGTGCTTACGTTACGTTTTGATCCAAAGTAAAGAGTGTGGCTATATAACCTGTCTCCTGCTCCACTCTTAAACTCAAACTATCCTATCATCTTCTTCTTCTTCTTCTCGTCCCTGCCACCTGCGCAGGTTAAGCAGACAAGACATACAATACACACACATGATGGATACACGTTTCGTTTTGTTTCTTGGTTTGATCTGCACCATTGTCGCCGGCGTTGGAGGGCAAGGGCCATCCACCTCCCCAACGACCTCTCCTGCGCCGCCCACACCCACCACTCCCCAAGCCTCTCCGCCTCCTCTTCAATCTTCTCCGCCACCCGCTCAGTCTTCACCGCCACCCGTTCAGTCTTCTCCGCCACCTGTTCAGTCCTCACCTCCACCTGCCCAGTCTCCACCTCCGGCCTCCACACCTCCACCTGCAGCGAGCTCTCCTCCCCCCCCCCCTCCACCCCCCCCACTCCCCCCCCCCGGCCTCCACACCTCCACCTGCAGGGAGCTCTCCCCCCCCAGCCTCTCCACCACCCTCATCTCCTCCTCCGGCGAGTCCACCCCCCGCATCCCCTCCCCCGGCAACTCCACCCCCTGCTTCTCCTCCTCCATTTTCACCACCACCTGCAACTCCCCCTCCAGCCACTCCTCCTCCAGCAGTTCCTCCACCTGCATTGACCCCAGCGCCTCTGTCTTCTCCTCCGGCCACTTCTCCAGCTCCTTCTCCTACCAAGCTCAATGCCCCAGCACTCTCTCCTACTCCTACCTTAGCTCCGGGTCCCAGCCTCTCCACCATCTCTCCCTCCGGTGATGATGTAACTACTTTACTCCTCTCTCTCTCTCTGCATGCATCTTAATTTCTACTTTTCCATTCATCTCATAACAGTTTAGTAAACAAAGGCATATTGATTCCACTTTCATATTTGCAAATAATAAAAATTATCATCATAAACTGCTAAAATATTTTTAAAAAGGCTGACTCTAATTTAACTTTCATCTCATCTTAATATAAAATATATCTAGTTTAATTTTTAAGATCCAAACTCTGCCTGACTCGACTTGTCAAACCTTCACAGGCACTTTTTTTTTTTTTTTTTTTGTCGAAAATTTAAAATTACACATTAAAGGTTTTACATTTGTTTTGTTTTTAAAAAGAAAAAGCATATTAAACATTTGATTTTATTTAAAAATGAAATGAAATACTAGTAATAGGATTGCACTGACAGGTGAGCCAGTGGGTAGATGCACAGAAATCCCAACCATCAAAATTACTGTACATGTATGTCGTTTTGGTATTAAACATAACTATAAAAATTCAAAAAAAAAAATAAAAATAAATAAAAGTTGAAGGCCATTAAATGCTGTTCCTAGTGATTGCCTTGCGTGGAGATGCTTAAGGTGGGCAATTCATGTTAGTATAAATATGTTTTTTGTATACGGCCTCAAGCAAACACAACAAACATATACCTAAATATATGTATCAGTTATTTCGCATTAAGGGAGGCTGTTGTTTACTCTTGAATATTCACTTTTTGCACATTTGGTGAATATATTACTTTACCAGATCTGGGACATAGCAATTATTAAAGCTTTCTACTTTAGATTGCGTATGTTGCAAATATTTGAAAAGTAAGGTGCTAAATTAATGAGCTTAATTCGTGGCGTTGTTGCAGAGTGGGGCTGAGAAGTTGTGGTCCATTCAGAAGATGATTGGGAGCTTAGTATTCGGATGTGCTTTGCTGGCCTTGATGTTCTAGAGATCTCGATCTGTCTTCAGACTGCAGATTTTTCTGCTAGCTGATCCATGTTATTTTGTTAATTACCTTTATATATTATTTTGTGGATGTGATATGGGAGTTTATTACTGTATTTCGATTATATACATTGCTTGCATTCTTGGGAGATTTGAGGGGAGGTTTTGTATTCCAGGGCAGTTATTTTGTATGGCACTATTATTAGTTTATTGATCGTTGCATTTGAGTATTTTCTTCCATTTCATAATTCATTATTATACTGCTATTTAACATAGTATTCTATTTCAAACTGTAGATACGCTTTCATTTGACTTTCCGTGGTCTCACTTAAACTTCAACTGAAATCACTACTACACTCGGAATTGTAAATACAATATTTATGTATCGATCTAGTTCAACACTGTTTACTTTAATTTGCCCATGTAATTCATCTAATATAAATATATAACTACGTATAAATGTAATTTGCCCAAGTTATATATTATTCCATCGACGATTCTTTTACAAAATGATTATGTTAAAACCAATTTTGTAAATAATGTAGTGGAATATTTCACAATCAATATTAAGAAGATAATCAATCCACCAAAACAATTAAGAAGAAAATCAGAAACCATTAAAGATAGAAATTAATTAACATCTATAAAGAACTTGTTTCGTAGGAGGTGAAAGCGAAACTGACAATAATAGGCAGAGTTATAACTAAAAACAAGACTCCCTCACACTCAGAATGTTGATGCAACAAAAATAATGCCAATGGAACGACTAATGTATTCATGTTATAATCTACCATTCAAATTTAATATACACAAAACAGAACGAAAAACAAAATAAAATAAGGACTTTCAACTCCTAGGAACTACTTTAGCCATTTTCAGAGAATGAGAAATGTTCATATAGTATACTACAATATAATATATCCTAAGGGAAGTTAAGTACTGCATTTATTTCCCAGGGAAAAACAGAGCAGCAAGATCTTGTTCTTTGATGTTAATAGAAATGGGACATCTCATCTCGTTGATTCTTGTGTATGTTACATATTTAAGCTTGTTCCGGCCAAAGGATGGACTAGGATTTTTTCCTAGGTTCAGCCTCCCAGCCAGAGCATTCAAAAGTGTAATCTGTCCGCTTAGCTCTAGGGTTTTAGGTCTTATATTTTCTTGTTTATGGGCCTCATGGGCCCTGTGAGTGCCCTGTGAGTGCAGAGATTTTCATAACCGTTAATATTTGGAAAATATTTTGTCATTAAAGATGGGATCGGAAAAATACCTATTGCGAGGTCAGATCGGATTCTGACCGGGAAGGTACACTGCACGCCTTACAGGCTTGGGACTGGAAGACAAGTGTACCTTCCCGATCAGAATCTGATCCGACCCCTCTACATGGGTGCACTCGGTCAGAATCCGACCTGTCTGCTCTACAGGGGTAACTCGGCCAAAATCCGATCTGACCCTCCCACATAGATACTAATCCGATATCAGGGATAAAATCCCATCTTTAATGACAAAATATTTTCCAAATATTAACGGTTATGAAAATCTCTGCACTCACAGGGCCCATGAGGCCCATAAACAAGAAAGTATAAGACCTAAAACCCTAGAGCTAAGCGGACATATTACACTTTTGAATGTTCTGGCTGGGAGGCTGAACCTAGGAAAAAACCCTAGTCCATCCTTTGGCCGGAACAAAGCTACTCACAATAAATAGAGTCCAAACACAAATACAAGTTACATCAACAATTGCTGCCCTATTTTGAGATATCCCTTCGTACATGGTTCTTGCGTCTTTTGACAAATTCCAAAACTCTTTTCCCATAAAAATGGTTAGGGTGATGGCATCTCTGTTGATGTTCATACATGAAGAAGGATGGTGACGTAGTATCAATTTACAAACACCCGCTTTTTAATCCATGCATTCCACGTGTTCATACATGCTTTTTAATTCACATCTTAATTTTAATGCAATGGATCCTTTTTGTTTAAATTAATAAAAAATATTTTTAAATAAGTATTTTTAAAAATAGATAAATTTATTTATTTAAAATAAATAAAAAATTACCCATTTTAAAAAATATTTAGATAAACACATCAAAAATAAAAAAAAATACTCATTTTATTAAAAAAATGTTTTTATAAAAAAAATTAAACAAACAAATCCGATAATTGACTAGCTACCAATTTTTTTTAAATGAATTTACTTACGAAAGAGTTTTATATGTGGTTTTTTTAACTAGATTTTATATTCGTGCAACATACAAAAATGCAAAGCAGAACTTAGCGTAGTGATATATTAAAGTGGAGGTTATTATCTCATTGAATCTTAAATTATGTTAATACAACTCAAAAATGATTTTGCATATAATAAATGTCAAAAATAATAATACAACTCAAAAATCATATATTAAAGAAAGATTATTTTTTTAAAAAAATAGAGATGAAAATTATTAAAATTTATTTATATTTTAAAATAATAAATGTGATGTACTTTTTACTTATAATAAAACAGAGAGAGTATAACTTAATTTCACATGTCGATTGTTTTTTTTATATAAATATAAATATACTTTTACAAGTACTATCCCTTAACTTTTAAAATCATATATTTTATCATTTAATTTTTAAAATTTTACGTATTTTACTACTCCATTAAAAAATATGAGTAACAAAACGTATAATTAAGTCTTTATATTTTTATTCTCCGCACATTCAACAACGCTTGAATAACAAAATAAAAGAAATAAAAAATACCCACTAAATAAATATTTTTTAATAATATTATATGTATAATTAAAATTGTATGACATTTAGTACAATATATATTTTTGTATTTTTTTTATAATTAATAAATATTTAGAATCTAATTATATATTTAATAATTTAAATTAAATCTTATAATTAATGTAACTTTTTAAATAATTTTTATAAAATTAAATTTGAACTATTAGATATATTTAATGATTATTAATATTGATGGAGAGAAGCGGAGAGAATATTGCCGTAGAGAATCTAAATTCGAGTTGGATAGCTTAAAAAAAAAACCAAGTTGAGTGGATACTAATTAAAATAATTTATATCCAAGGAAGCATTAACACTTAACTAAGTTAGAGTGAGTGGGAAGGTGTGGCAGTTGTTGTGAAGAGAAGAAATGGAGAAGGCGCTAAGAGCTTATGCGGAGGTTCTGAGATTGGTGAGGCTGTTGCCAAAGGACAGCAGAGGTTATTATGCCAAATACGCCCGCGAAAACTTCGTCAATTATCGTCAAGTTGATCCTTCTGATTCCGACGACCTCTTTCAACGCACCTATAATCATTCTCTATGGGTCCTTCACAAGGTCTCTACTCTCTTCTTTTCCTCTCTTCCCTTTCTTTAACTAATTCTGCATCCTAATTTTTCAATGCCATTGCAGTATTCCATTGATAAATCCGCTGCGGATAAGCTCAAAGGGATATGTTGCGCTTAATGCAATGCCACCCAACTGTTTGTTCTTATTTCTCACTCAACCTCTTGCCTTTACTCTTCATCATAATAATAAGTTTTTTTAAAAACCTGTTTCACCTCTTATAAAGTTTTTTTTTTCACGCTGTCTGCAAACTATATCTGTCATCAAACCCTTAAATTTCTTAATTATTATTATTATTCTATTTTGTAGTGTGTATCATTAAGGATATATGAGAACTGCACATCTTGAATTGGTTAAACGATGCATTGTCCTACTGTAGCTATCGCATTAACGTGGGTCGTAATGCACCTCTACACACGCCCTAAATCAACAAGAGGATACTAGAAATCATTCATGTTGCGAAATTTGGCAATGACTTACAAATCACTAAATAACTCAATAATCTTTCTGACAGATATATGAAGTAGATACTATGGCACATTTTTTTTGTCCAATGTTATTTGTGTAGAGCAGTAACGATTTGTCAGTCTTGTATGGAAGTACTTTCTGAGGTTGTTAAGAGCAACCCTTCCCACTACATTTCTACTTAAAATTTACACACATCATTACACAGGTAAATTTTTTTGTTCTCGTTTTATCTCTACTTTCTTCAACCACGCCCCTCAAGTCTCCAACCCCATGAATTACTTTTATTGCAAAAGCTTGTAGCGCGAGTTCAAACAAGGCTTGAATTAAAAGACCAAGGAAATTGTAAGGTGTTGCTCTTAACAACCCCACTATGATCTGTTTGCTTTTGCTAAGATTCGTCAAGAAGTTGCCCTCTTAGTTTATACTTTCTCACTCTCGTCACTGCCGAGAGCATCATTTTATTTTACTCCACCTTTCTATTAGGTAGTGTTTGTTTCCGGTGAAATACTGTTCACGAGCAAAGAAAGGCGTGGATTGTGTATGTTTGTTTCCCGTGATTTGGAACGAAAGAAAGGCGAAGAAAAGCGAGGAGAAGCACTGTTGCTCTCCTCGCACAAAAGGGAAGAAAGGAGCTGAAAGCCACGTAGGATTTGTAAAAATCCGAAAATGCCCCTTCCATGCATGTGCCATGCAGCAGAGGATTTACGTTCACGTTCTCCACGGGCTGGTGTTGATTCTCGACGTTGGGTGGCTGGTGGGTATTGGTGGTGAGTGATTGTGGAAGGAGGTCTTCCATTTAAAGAAAACGAAGGAGCATAATCGATTATGGTTGGCCACATAATCGATTATGGCCTTGCATAATCGATTATGGGTGAGGCATAATCGATTATGCAAGGCCATAATCGATTATGTGGCTAAGCATAATCGATTATGCAGGAATCCG